TCTCAGGTCAGTAGGCCTGGATCTACGCCCCCCCCCCCCCCCCACCTGTGATTATCAGCTCTGCAGCTTTGGATTAAGTCATGGGACAGCTCTAGAACTCAGGTCTTTTTTTGGAGAGGTTTTTGCTACAGGGCGTGTGCACTTGCCAGAAAGACAGACAGACAGAAGGTGAGAAATCACCCCCAGGGGGATGGCCACGCCGCAATCTCTTTTCCTCCATTCTCCTCTCAGGATCTTGGGCACGTATGCACACGCACCCGGCGTGAGTTTAAACCACTGGGTCCAGGACTTGAACCGTGGTCGACTACATGGGAGTCCAGCAACATAGCCGTTACGCTAACTGCTGGTCCCTAGAACTCAGATCTTCAACTGGAAAACAGGAACCCAAGGGCCTGGCAGTGCCCATGGGGAAGCAGCTGTGAGATACTTTTTGTGCTGGTGACAGCCATGGCTAGCGTTTCAGTTGCTATTTCCTTTGGATGAACTTCCAGACAAGAGGTGAGGTAGAGGTTGTGTTCTTGTCCCTTATTTGTTTTGTTTATAAGTCAGAGGGCACTGCACTTGCTGGAGAGATACGGGAGGAGAGGGAAGCATCCATTAATGGGATGTGGCCACATCACTATCCCTTCTCCATTTCTCAGTCCCGTCGGGATTTGGGGCACACACGCCTGGCATGTTTTTTCAAGCTGCTAGGGCCTGGATTCAAAATGCTGTCAGGGGAACCAGCAGTTAGCGTAATGGCTATGTCGCTGGACTCCCACGTAGTCGACTGCGGTTTGCATCCCAGACCCAGTGGCTTAAAACTCACGCCGGGCACGTGTGCGTGCATGCCCAAGATCCCGAGAGGAGAATGGAGGAGAAGGGATTGCGGCGTGACCATCCCCCCTGGGGGGGTGATTTCTCACTTTCTGTCTCTATGTCTCTTTCTGTCTGTCTGGCGAGCGCACGCGCCCTATAGCGATAAAATAAAAATAAAAATGCTGTCGGCTATGTGGGATCGGGCTCCTTTAATCATCAGACCACAAGACCAGCCCTCTCTGTTTTTTAACTTTGTTTATTTCTACAGAGAGACACATAATACCCCCAGTATGGTCTTCACACTGTGATTTGCCCCAGCTCGGCTGGCACTAGATTGTGGCATGTGAATACTCAGGAAGGTCTCTGGACACCAACTCAGGACTTTCCCATGTGGGTCAGCTTCACAGGGCGTCACGATTTACCACTGTACCACTGTCTGGTCCCCACCTTCCCCTTTTAAAAGAAATTTTGCCTGAGGGCACGTGCACTTGCTGGAGAAAGACACAGAGATAGAGAGAAAGTGGAAAAGCACCCTCAAGGGTGGTGATCAGACAGCCATCCCTTCTCTCTCTCTTTTTGGGATTTTAGGCACATGTGTATCTAGCATGTTTTGTTTTTCTTTGGAGAGGTTTTTGCTATAGGGCGCGTGCGCTCACCAGACAGACAGAGAGACAGAGAGACAGAAAGCGAGAAATCACCCCCCAGAGGGGATGGCCACGCCGCAGTCCCTTCTCCATTCTTCTCTCGGGATCCTGGGCACGCACGCATACGTGCCTGGCATGAGTTTTAAGCCACCGGGTCCGGGACTCGAACCGCAGTCGACTACATGGGAGTTCAGCAACATAGCCATTATGCTAACTGCTGGTCCCTCTAGCATGTTTTTCAAGCTGCCATATCCTGGACTCAGTCAGCCATGTGGGATCCAGCCACCTTAACCACCATGTCTTCCCCCTCTTTTTAAGTCAGAATCTTTATCCCATCAAATCTCAGAGTAAGGAGAGGAAATCAAGCCTCCACACTCCTATTCTGGTGGCCTTCCCAGTGCCCCCGGAGACTAGAGCAAGTTGGCGATATGTGTAGGAGGCAGTAGTCTTCAGTGGTTGCCTGGCAGCTGGGCCAGAAACACCCACTTAAGATTTATTGGGAGGGGGGGGAAGACCAGCAGTTAGTGTCTGGTTCGAGTCCCGGACCCGGTGGCTTAAACTCACACCGGACGCGTGTGTGTACCTGCCCAAGGTCCCAAGAGGAGAATGGAGGAGAAAGGATTGCGGCATAGCCATCCCCCCTGGGGGGGGGTGATTTCTCGCTTTTCTCTGTCTCTCTCTGTCTGTCTGGCTAGCGCATGCGCCCTATAGCGAAAACCTCTCCAAAAAAAAAAAAAGATTTATGGGATTAGGGACCAGCAGATGGAGTATTGGCTCTGTCGCTGGATTCCCATGTAGACGACCGCAGTTCAAGTCCCAGACCCGGTAGCTTAAACTCACACCAGGCACGTGTGCATGCGTGCCCAAGATCCTGAGAGGAGAATGGAGGAGAAGGGATTGCGGTGTGGCCATCCCCCCCAGGGGATGATTTCTCGCTTTCTGTCTCTCTGTCTCTCTCTGTCTGTCTGGCTAGCGCATGCGCCCTATAGCGAAAACCTCTCCAAAAAAAAAAAAAGATTCATGGGGTTATTGGGACCAGCAGGTTGCGTGGTGGTTAGGGGCACTAGGCTCCCACAGGGCTGACAGTGATTCAAGTCCTGGACCTGGCAGCTTGCTTTCTTGCTTTCTCTCTGTGTGTCCCTCTTTGGCCATATTTAAATAAATAAATAAAGTATCTTAAAAATATTTATGGGTTTACAAAAATAAAATTAAATAAATAATTATTAAAAAGGGGAGGCTGGAAGGTGGTATGGTGCTGGACTCCCACATGGCCAACTACGGTTTGAGTCTGGGACATGGCAGCTTGCTTTCTCTCTCTTTCTCTCTCGTCAAATTAAAAAATAAATAAAGTTAAATAGAATAAATAATTATTTAAATAACAAAAGGGGGGCAAGCAGATAGTGTGGTGGTTAAGGCATTGGACTCCCATATAACTGACCATGGTTCAAATCCCAGACCTGGAGGCTTGCTTTCTCACTCTCTCTCGCTCTCTGTATTTCTCTCTCTGTCTCTCTCTCTGGTCAAATTAAAAAATAATAGTAAATAAATAAAATTAAATACTAATTTTTAAAAAAGATTTATGGGGTTGGGGCCAGCAGGTGGCATGTTGGTTAGGGTGCTGGATTGGCACATGGCCAACTGCAGTTTGAGTCCCTGACCGGGTAGCTTGCTTTCTCACTTTCTCTTTTCCTCTCTCTCTCTCTCTCTCTCTCTCTCTGTGTTTCTGCTTCTGGTGAGTGCGTGAGCCCTGTAGCAAATTTCATAATAATAATAACAAATACAATTTAATTATTTGATTCCATTTGTTAATATTTTCGTTACTGTTTTTAAATTTGACCAGAGAGGGAGAGAAAGGGAAAGCAGAAAAGCAAGCCACCAGGTCCAGGACTCAAA